ACCCATGGCTCCAGGGCCCCGCCGGGAGCCGGAAACTCCGAGCACTGGCCGGCGTTCTCTCCGAAGCCGCTGTCCGACGGACCCTGGGCCCGCACGGAGGGACGAGCACGGCCCAACACCTCCCGTCGCGATCTTTGCCACGACGCGAGCTTGTCAGGGTCTGGGGGTCAAAATCGACCCCCGGACCTGTCATGGGATGCGCTCTGGCCAGAACTTCCCAGGAGGATCCAGCCATGGCCACGAGCCCAAAAAGACCTGGGCCTGGCCGCGCCCCCTCCCCCCTCCCCCCCCATGGACACGTCACGCTTCGCGCTGGGGTTGTCCTATGCATTTCCAGGCGGCGCTGCTACGACTCGTGACGTGACCCGCCCCCTCGCCCCTCCCCCCCGCCCGGTCACGCCCGCTAGATCGCCAGGAGATAAAGAAGCTGACTCCTGGAGCCGCCCAAAAGAGCAAACAATGTGTCAGAAGCCAGAATGCGAGCCTAGATCCGACGGCGAGCCTGGGGGGGAGAGGTGAGAAGGAGGCCTTCTGAAAAGTTCCCTGAGCCTCTCCCGAAGACGCAGACAAAAAACTTCTCGGAATGCCTGAGGGCGCCTGCGAGGCCCCGTCGCCTTCTGAGAAGGCCTTCTCCTTCTCACTTCCCCCCCTCGCTCGCCACCAAGTTAAGTATCGGTCCACATCGGTCCCCGGACCCCTCCCAGGGTCCATCCGACGCGGCTTCACCTCAGATCGAGTTTTTCGGGCGTGCTGGGGCCCGCACACGGCCCCCAGAGGCCGAAAGCTACTCTCAAAAACGACTCGAGCCTTTGTACCTCGAAGTCTGAACCTCGCAATTCCCCCCCCCTCGCTCGCCGCCGATGGCAGGGAAGCGAATAGTGACATAAACAGAAGAACTCGGATGTCCGCGCGGATTTCTCGGATCGGCGCTGGGGCCCCCTCGCGGCCCTTCCGGCGCCGCCCCTGGGCGCGCTCCGCGCGCCAGGGAGGGGGGTCCCGATCCGAGGAAATCCCCGCGCACCTCAAAGCTTTGTATGCTCATGCCATTGCCCGTTCCCCTAGACTTAAATCGTGCCTGTCTCCCTACAAGGGGATTTTCGACGAAAACCCAAAAAGGTCAAAAGATACCCCAAAAATAGTCCCCAGACTATGTTTGGACTGTTTTTTTTTTGGGGGGGGGGGGTACTTTTTATTTTCCGTCGAAAATCCCCCTGTAGGGGGACACGCCCGACTTAACCCCATAGACAGGCCTCCGAGCTCCCTGTCCCCGGGCCACCGCCGGCGCAAAGGCCGGGCACCCAGCCCAGCGGCCGGGCCGGGCCCGGCCGCCTGCCGCCGGCCAGGAGGCGCGCCGGCATGCCGGAGAGCGGCGCGCGGGGCCGCCGCGGCAGTGGGGCCTTGCCAGTTGTTCCCAGACATCCTGTGGTGTATGCAGGAGGAGGAGGAGGAGGAGGAGGAGGAGGAGGAGGAGGAGGAGGAGGAGGAGGAGGAGGAGGAGGAGGAGGAGGAGGAGGAGGGAGGAGGAGGGAGGAGGAGGAGGAGGAGGAGAGAGGGAGGAGGAGGAGGAGGAGGAGGAGGAGGAGGAGGGGAGGAGGAGGAGGGAGGAGGAGGAGGAGGAGGAGGAGGAGGAGGAGGAGGAGGAGGAGGATCAGGAGTAGGAAGAGGAGGAGGAGGGGGGGCAACGTCGGGTGCTCGTTCTGAGGAGACAGCGCCCTGCGTTCCTCATCTCCTCTCCTGTCCTCTCCTCTCCTCTCCTCTCCTCCTTCCCCTCCTCCCATCCTTGCCTCTGCCCTCGGCATGTCCATTTCGGCACGCCCCTCACGAAGATCGTGGCCCCATTGGGCTCCACCGAAGGCAGTGGCAGAGTTCGGCACACCCCTCACGAAGATCGTGGCCCCATTGGGAGCCCCACCGAAGGCCCCAATGGCAGGGGTCCGCATGCGTCCCGTTGCCAATTTCGGCACACCCCTCACGAAAGCTAAACCCCACACACCCTGACCCACCCGCGACCCAGCCGCGACCAGCCCCGCGCCCGCCACCTCACTCTTACCCGCAACTGCGGGGTGCTACGCAGGGAGATGTTCTGTGCACCTCTCCCTCGCCCACTCCAAGGGCCAATGCCCAGAGAAGTCTTCCACGGGATGTCGGGACTGCCGGGGGCTGTCTCCGAGACACAGGAGGGCGCTCCAGGCGCGCCTCAAAGGGGCCTCCAAGAGAGCCCAAGCATCGGGATCAACGGGTGGCGAGGTCCTACCAGATGGCCAGAACATGAACCCAAGAAAACCAAGATTTCGCAAACGAGGCTTCAAGACAGTTCACATTTGTTTAAAGAGCCGCTGCCCAAGGAGGCCCAGAACAATTAAAGACCTAAAGAACAGCGTGTTGTTTCCAAATCCTTCCGCCTGAAATTGCCTCGCGTATACCCCAGAGAGCATAGTGCAATCCATGCTGGCCACAATAAGATCCCACCCAACCCCTTAATTTGGAGAGCTCGGTAAAACTGCATAATGCTTGGAGGTCCGCGCAGGAAATCAGTACGGACCTCTGGGAAATGATGGTTATGCAGTTTGTGTCCCTCGACGTTAGGATATCTCGCCAAAGCCATCACGCCCATGGCGGTCCGCATGCATTCGCTTCGGTCGAATCGACGGACAGGGTAGTGACCAACTAGGACCGAGGCTATCCCTCATCTTGCTCCTCCTCCTCCTCCTCCTTTCTTCTGCTGCGTTTTCCTCCCGCTTCCTCTTCGATTCTTCTCCTCCCTGATCTCCTAATCTAGAAGAAGAACAAAAAAAACATAAACTCCTGGCGCTCCGCACGGATTGCTCGGATCTGCACTGGACACCCCCTCCGTGGCGCGCGGAGCGCGCCGAGGGCGACGCCAAAGTCTGTGTGCTTCTAGGCCGCTGCTCCGTCTTCGGATCTCCCTCTCCAGCCTCCTCGGCCTCTGGCTCCCGCTCGCCACCTCAGCGCCCCTCAAACGGGGACTCCACTAACGGGTACTTTGGCCAGTGACCCAGCGAACCAAACCCTTCCCGATGTGGGCAAAACTGCAATGCAAGAAAAAGGCCCTAAAGTGGCAACTTTCGGCTAAAATTCAAAGTACCCGCTAGTAAGTACCCGTTACGGTACCGTTGACCACCCCTCCCAGAAGCAGGGCCGGCTGCAGAGCCCCTGCCCCCGCGCGGGCACGGGGGCACGAGGAGCCCTCGCACGGCCACGGGGCGCGCCGAGTACAGCCGGGGCGCTGAACTGAGGAACCCCAAATAAGGAACGAGGCCCCTTTTTTCCACAAGTTCAACCTCGATTGCCCACGGACAACCTCAGGAAAACCCGAGCCAAATTTCGAAACGATCAAGGAACACCGAGCCCCTCCCCAACGAGAAGGGTCCTTCTTCAGCGCCCCGACTGTAGGGAGCGAAGGCGCTCCGGTGGCCACGGCGAGCCTCGGCCACGGACCAGGCTCCCCCCGACCTGCACTCCCCCGGCGCGGCCCACGACGTGCAGAGCAGCTGCTCGCGCAGATGGCCCGGATCCCCCCCGCGGGGGATCTGCGATGCGCCACATCGAGGCAGACACGTACTGGTTTTCTTGTCGGACGTCGGCATGCACAGGCGAGCGCGGCCCGCTTTGCTCGCGGAGTCACCTCGCGCCAGCGGCCTGGATCCGCCGTGGGGGATTCACGATCTATCGCGTCGAGACGAACGTGTTTGAAGGGGCCCCGGGACACACAAACAAATACACACAAATAAAAAGATTCCCCATATTTTCCCATATCTTCGGGGTTTCTGTCTTCCCCCCCACGTCCCATATTTTCCCATATATCTCCTGGGGAATCGAGGATTCATTGTGTCTGCGTGTTTCGTTTCCTCCCGAGTGTTTTTGTTTGTATTCGGACGTCTGCGAGTAGGGGAACGCGCTCGGCAAGAGCAGACACTCCGAGAGACCGCGCTCGGCGGCAGGTCCGTGGGGAAGAACGGCCCGACCACCGGAGCCCCTGCCGTGGCCGACGTGGCCCTCACCTCAACGTTTGGGTCGGGCCTGTCACCCCACAGGGGGATCTTGAACGAAAAACAAAAAATACTCAAAACATTACCCAGCATGGCCAACACATACTCAAAAAATTGTCCCCAGACATTTTTCGTTTTGAACTATTTCTGAGTATTCCCCCTGTAGAGGGACAGGCCCGACTTAACTCAACGTCCTGACCGTACAGTGGAGGCCCGACCACAAGAAACCGTCCACAAGAGACCCGACCCCCGAGACCCCAGGACGTCCCTCGATGTTTGGTGCGGGAGCGTCGCGCTTCCCGACGCAGAACCGCCGAAACCCCAGAAACCTTGGGCACCCTGGAGGCAGGCAGGGCGTTTCTTGGCAAGGGCCTCCACTGTACGAGAGCTCCGCAACTTTTCGCCGCGTGCGCTGCGAGCCCCGCGGGGGAGGGAGGTCTCATCGTGCGGGCCGAAAAGACAGCCTGAGAAAACTGGCAAACCGATACAAAAAGACATGCAGGCGGGCCAGCCCCGAAGAGCCTGCAGCGGGCTGCAGCCACCTGCCTCTTTGCAGGAGGCGCCGCCACTGGGGAGGAGGGCGATGGACGAGATGATTCGGCGTCGAGCCCGGGGGAGGAAGTGAGAAGGGGCGGGCCTTCTCAGAAGGCTCGGAAGTCCGCCAGCCTTCTGAGGAGTCTGCGAAGCATTCCCCGAAGACGCAGAGAACTTCTTAGAAGGCGCGGGGGACTTCTGAGAAGTCCCGCCGCCCTCTGAGATGGGCCCTCTCCTTCTCACTTCCCCCCCTCGCTCGCCGCCGAACGATGGTATCAGCCTGTGAGCTTCTGAGATAACTTGAAAGCATGGCGTCGTCCATCGGCAGTTCGCCTTTTGGCAGGGCAGGGCCCCAAGTGGGCACATCTACTGATAGCTGCAACCTGCGAAAGGCATCTGCCAATCTTACATTTACCACTACGCTTCGCACTGGCTCTGAAATCTTCACTTGGTGACAGTGCCCACCACGATCGCGAAAGCGACGCAGCCCCAGGATTCCGGTCTCAAAAAAGCAAACTCGACAAAATATGCCCATGAAGATACACCGACTTATACCGCACTAAGGCGCCACGCGGTTCACTATACTTGTTCACTCACGACTTGCGCAACACCGTTCATCAAGTCCGTCGGGGCACCTCAACGGAGATGACAACCATTAGATGATGCAAAACGAAATGGAACATTGCGTTCATAATATTAGACAACGAGGTTCCGTAGCCCGGATGCGTACATGAAGTCCGGGCTGAACGAACGAACATCATTGCGCTGGACCCTTGCGCACGACGAAATCGCCGAACGCTGTCTGCGTGGCGACAGTTGCTTCCCCTCCAAGCAAGAGATGACTGTAATGGAGAGAACGATGAATCATACATATTACACTGACATGTATGATGGAATCGATCAACCAGACAGCCGATGTCTTGCTTTTGTCCGTACAGGGTCTCTGGTAGTCTCGACCCCTTGCCTGGGGGCGCTTTTGGCGTTTTCTCATTCCGAATCGTTGTTGGGCGGTCCTGGGGCTGGAGAAGGGTCCCCGGAAGCCGAAAACAGCCGAAACCCTACCCTCGTCATTTGTTTCAAGACACGGCCATGTCTGGATCCTCCTCCTCCTCGCGTCCGCACTCCTTCTCTTGCTTCTGGGTCCCCAGTCGCCGGGCCAGCCGCGGGAGCTCGCTCAGACGCCCTTGGCGGCGGTGATGACCGCCTGAGCGGGCCCGCGGCAGCAAGAGAGGGTGCTCTCAGCATGCCTCTGGCCCTGCGGTCATCGCATGTAGGAACCGACCATGTCAAGTCTCCGCCGATGTGTTCTGTTTTCAATGCGGGCGATGCTCCTTGAGTTCGGCCTCTGGTGCCCGTCATCGAGCCCCGGGGGCATCAGACATGGATCTGGGACGCAAGCCTGCGCCAGGGGAAGAGGTCGGGACCTCTGGTGGCGCGGAGCGGAAACAACAGCTCGGAGGGCGTCTGGGGAGGTTGCGCTCAGCACACCTCTGTCCCTGCGGTCATCGCATGCAGGAGCCGAACCTTTGTACAGATCCAGCTCCTTCCCAACGCATGCTCGCATCGTGATAGAAACACACAAAAAAACACGACGGTACGTGTTGGCATTTTTTCTCGCTCCAGGGGGGCCCTCACCAGGCTCCAGGACCGTCAGAAAACGGTTCGGGATCATAGCTGGCCCTGGGGAAAGGGTCGGGCTACAAGGGACCGTGCAATCATAACCTCAGATCCATGTGAATGATTGGCCTCCTTCAACTTCCCTCCCCCCACCTTCTCCTCGTTTGCCGGGCGGGCGGGAGTGGCAGGGACGAGAGATGGATCTGTAGAGTTGCCCTCCTCCGATCACTGGCCTCGGAACATCTTGGGCCAGGAACGAACTGGCTTGTTCAAGGTCGCAGCGAAATCCCGCCACAAGCACACGTCACAGTCATTGCTTACCTGAGGACGAGGAGCGGCCAGCAAGCCGAAGATTTTGCCCTCTCTGGCCAAACCATACTACCCACTCCATCGTCAATGCTTGGTGCGCTTGGCAAAATCGACGGTCCTGACTGATCGGCTGACGGGATGATCGACTGTTTTTTGTTGGAAAAAACGCTCGAGGCCAAGAGGCTCTGGCAAGAGCGCGCCGCGCCTGCGCGAGAGGGGAGGGGGTGCAGGCCCTGGGTGGAGCCATCACCCACCCTGGGAAAAAAAGAGAGAGAGAGAGAGACGAAGGCACAAACTCCCAAACCTCTCCTCTGCCTGCCTCTTGGGGAAACCAAGCGGTATCGATAGCGCTACTCGCTGGGTCTCCCAGGGTGCGTTCTGACCAGAATTTCGAAGCGAATCCAACGGGGACGACGAGGGCCTCTGGGGAGGCCCAAAGAGGGGAAAAACGGGCGGAAGGTAGCGGTATGGGCACCTTGCCCTCCTCTGCCCTCTTGCCCCCCCAATCTCCTCGCCCCCCCTCTCCTCTCGTGCCACGATCGCGCCCCCCCAGCCATGCCGCGCACTGAATCTTTTTTCAGACCGTGAGCGTCTTCTTATTCGGCGCTTCGACACTGGGCGGAAAAGGGCCGGGGGGGGGGGTCTGGCCGGCGAGGGCCTCTGGAGGCCAGAAGCGGCGCGAAACCTCGGTCTTGATTTCGTCAGTGCGCTGGATTTCTGGGCTGCCAACAGCATAAAACGACGCGAAGATCGGGACAAAATCGGATCGGGATAACTCGAAATCTCTGAGAATCGGCGGGTTTGGAGGATGTATTGGGCGCCGCGGCCGCTCCAGAGCGTTCCGGAACGCTCTGAGAGCGCTCCGGAACGCTCTGGAGCGATTTATCCCGATCCTAGCCCTGTTTTAACCTCTCCCATTCCTGCCCACTGTCCGGCCCGACCGTCCCGACCTGTCCGCCCGAGCCTCTCCGCTGCCACACCCCTGCTGAGCAGGGACCAACTGTGCAGGCATTCCTACGGGCCTACCACCACATGTTCTTAGAACCCAGCACTGTTCTAAGGACAATCACGATGTTCTCAGGACATGAACCCGAGATGCGTCAAACCAAAGCAGTCAGGCAGTCTCAGCAAAAAAAATGCTCGGAGGACGCTCCGCGCAGACCACCACGGGTTCTTGGGACATTCCTTGGTGGGCCGATAGGCGAGTCAGGACGTCTCGCTGCTGCTCGATCTCCGCTGCCCCCCCCCCCCCCCTGCGGCCTCCGCCCCCCGCTCACAGGTCGCCCGCGCGCGCCTCCCCCCCCCGGCAGGACCCCCCCCCCAAGGCGAAGGCGCGCGCGCCCCGTGCGCCAGCGCCGAGCGGCAGGCGCTGAGGGTCTCGACCGCTGGCCGCGGCTCTCGGCATGGAAGCGGAAAAAAGTCACCGCACCGACCTCGCAGAGGTGCTGCAGCGGACTTCTCCGTGGAGTCCTGTCCGTGCATAGCCCCGACACGGCGGGCGAAACACGACGTGAATGCCACGCTGGTGTTCTGTAGCCTTCGCTCCTGGCCCCCCCCAAAAGAACCCGCACGAAATTCATGTCGAACAATATGGGTCCAACCTATGGATTTTCGAGCAAAATACGGTCTGCGATGTGGATGTTCGAACAAAATGCGGTCTGCGATGTTGGCGCCATGGGAAAGGCGGCAAGTGGGGGGGCGGCAAGGTCGGAACTCCTCACGCGCTCTGCATGTCGGCGGCGCCCAACGATGGCAAGTCGCGTGATTCATCGAGACGAGCGTAGCACTCCGTGAGACCCCTCCCCCCCTCGCGACATGACTCAAATATACTATGACGGGCACTTGCAACCGTTCCATGACATGTGCGAGCTGGAGACAGCCGCAAACACGCTCGGAGGTGGCCTCGTCCCACTCCCTATCGAACGAGGCCCTGTCAAGGCCAAGCCTCAGGAACTGGGAGTAGTAGGAGACCAAATCGTCCTCGATCGCCGGCGGTCCAAGAGAGGCTGTATACTTAACTCGGGCACGTCTTTCTACAGGAGGAATATTCATCAAAAACAATCAAAGAACAGGTACGGGACGATTTTTTGTGTATTTTGGTTATGTTTCGAGTATTTGATTACTATTCTTTTGTTGGTCCAAAATCCGCCTGTACGAGGACACGCCCGACCTGACTGCAGATGGCCACATGAACTGCGTAGCGCCACGTTCACGACGGGAGACCCTCGCTGCACCCGCCAACCCACCCCCTCCCCACCCGCCTGACTATGCCGTCCCAAGGATCCCGGCGCGCGGCGCACCAAGCATGGGGGATGGGGGCGGGGAGGAAATGGAGGAGAGGGAGGGGGAGGAGGACAAGTTAGGTGCGCTCGCGTCAACATCTGATATCCTACCCCTCCCTCCCATCCCTTACCATGGCGCTGATATTCTCTATCCGCGGACGCGTGTCGTAGCGGACCTGTGGCTCCGCGCGCGTGTGCGTAGTGGGTGGGGGTGCGCGTGCGTGCGTGCGTGTGTGCGTGTTTGTGGTTGTTGTGGTGGTGGTGTGTATGTGTGTGTGTGTGTGTGCGTGTGTGCGCGTGTGCTGTGGTGTGACGTGGTGTGGCGTCTTGGTGGTTTGGTGGTGGGCCAGGTGCGTACGTGCGTGATGGCGGTGGTGGTGGTGGCGTGTGTGTGTGTGTGTGTGTCTGTGTGTGTGTGTGTGTGTGTGTGTGTGTGCGTGTGTGTGTGTGTGTGTGTGTGTGTGTGTGTGTGTGTGTGTGTGTGCGTGTGTGTGCGTGTGTGCGTGCGTGCGTGCGTGCGCGTGCGTGCGTGCGTGCGTGCGTGCGTGCGTGCGTGCGTGCGTGTGTGTCTGTGTGTGCGCGCGTGTGATGTGGTGTGACGCGGTGTAGCGTGGTGGTGGTGGGTGGGGTAGTGCGGTGGTGGCGGTGCGCGGTGGTGGTGCGCGTGCGTGCGTGCGTGCGTTGGTGGGTGGAAGTGGCGGTGGGTGTGCGTGCGGCGGGGCGGGGCGTGGTGCGGCGCGGTGGTGGCGGGCGGATGGGCGCGCGACAAAGAGGCCCGCGCTGGGGCGAGAACGCCATCCTGAACGACGGAGGCAAAACACCGATCCGAAAATGACGCCCACGCTACAGCGGGAACGCGATCCGGAACGAGTCCGGAGCAAAAATGAGGCCGCCGCTTCAACGAGAGCAGCTTTTTGAACAAAAAACGCAGGCGAAAACCCAATTCCCGGGAATCCTGTGTAAAAAACAGTACGCGGGGGGGGGTCTACTACTCCCAGGGCGCCATCAGGGGAAGAGGGAGAATAGTATTCATATTGAGTAATTGAGGAGGAGGAGGAGGAGGAGGAGGAGGAGGAGGAGGAGGAGGAGGAGGAGGAGGAGGAGGAGGAGGAGGAGGACAAGCTAGGTACGCTCGCGTCATATCTGACATCTTACTCCTCCCCCCCATCCCTTACCATGGCGTAAATCCCCTCTCTACTCGCACTGTCGGATGTCGAACAGGGCAATGATCCCGAAAGGGTACGCGATGCATTGTAGAGCACGGCGTGGCATGGCGTAGAAGAGCATCGCAAAGCGTAGTATCAACCTAGCATTGCACTGCATGCCGTGGCATGGCACGGGAAATGGCGCCAACGCTGCAGCGGAACACGAGTCGGAACGAGCGGAAACGCGGAAATGAGGCCAACGCTGCAACGGGAGCACGATTCGGAACGAGCGGGAACACGGAAATGAAGCCAGCGCTGCAGCGGGAGCACGATTCGGAACGAGCGGGGCCCGAAAATGAGGCCGGCGCCTCAGCGAGAGCAGCATTTTGGAAACAAATGCAAGTGAAAACCCAACTCTGGGGAATCCTGTGTGTAAAAAAACAGTACGCGGGGGGGGGGGGGGGTAATACTTTCAGGCCGTCATCAGGGGAAGAGGGAGAGTAATATTCAGATTGAGTAGTTGTGGAGGAGGAGGAGGAAAAGGAGGAGGAGGAGGAGGAGGAGGAGGAGGAGGAAGAGGAGGAGGAGGAGGGGGAGGGAGAGGGTGAGGAAGAGAGGGGGGGGGGGAGGAGGGGGAGGCAGGGGAGGTGGAACAGAGGCCTCCTAGCAAACGTCCGATCAAATGGGGTCGGAGGATCGCGACGCATCGCCGCTGCAATGGCGACACGTTGGCGACGCACTGGCGCCATCGGCGAGGAGAAGTTAGGCTCCACTTCGAGCCATCGTCGATGCATCGGTAATGCGGAGCGATGCTTCGACCCCATCTACTCGGACCCAATCTGAGAAGCCTAGAAAGGGAACGAGGAGCTTTTTCACCGCAGGGACAAACTCCACGATCTGCAACAGCAACTCATGGGAGCTTCCCCTACCATCCGGCTGGCTCTTGCGAGCCGGCACTCGTCGACGCTACATCGGCGCTAGTCGACGCTTAAGGCGCCGGCGATATTCCACCGACTACCAAACGCTATCGACGCTGGTGCGCTCTGGGGGGCGGAATTGCTAAGGTACACGGGGGCTCCCATGAGTCAACGGGCCCTGGGACACACAAATAATAAGTACACACAAATAACAAGATTCCCCATGTTTCACCATCTTTTCTGGGTTTTTGTCTCCCCCCCACTTCCCATATTTTCACATATTTTCTGGGGGATCGGCGATTCATTGTGTCTCTGCGTTCTTCCCCTCCTGACGGGATCTGCTGCTGAGGCCATCCACCAGTCCGCGAGCTCGCTGGCCGAAAAGCTGCCAGGCAGGCGCACGCTGGCCGCGGAGGAGGGGGGCCGCAGGGAGGCGGCAGCATCAGAGCGGCGGCCAGAGGGGGAAAAAGGAGGATAACTGGCCAGGGGTTCTGTTTTTTGAACTCAGCGTTCCACCTCTGTATCTCGACGTGGGAGGTCGAACGAGCCGAGGACGACCAGCACGAACACCCAGACGAAGTAGAGCAGCGGCACGAGAGGGACGTACAGCTGAACGGCCAGGGGTTCCGAGCTCGGGGGGAACGAACGGGGGGGGGGATGGCAAAGGGTAGGGCAGAGAATCAGCTCAAAGTGGCTGATCTTCCCAGCGCCTCCCCGCGCTGGGAGGCGCCCATGCATCGAGGAATGGGCCCGGCGGCGGGGCCGAAACCGGCTGCATGCAGCAGATTCGCACCCCCCCCTTTCCCTATCCCCCCCTTTCTTTTGGCCCGATGAGCTGAACGGGCACCGTTTTTGGTACCTTTTATCTGGTGGGTGGGCGGGGCGGGATGGGGGGGGGGAATGCCGGCCGATAACCTGGCCTTTCCGCTTTGGGCAGCCCCACGTATGTCCGCGCGCACTAACACTGCGCACCCCTGCGGGGGCAGGGGGGGGGGCGGGCGGGACCACCAACCGGGGTACTCGCCAGACCCTTACGACAAAAATCTGAAGGGAGGCGGCCAGGGGGTCTGAGCTGGATCAGCCCGCAGAAAATGTGGCAAGAATGAGGGACGAGGCCCAATCCGCAAAAAAAAAAACGGTCCATGGAACCCTCCCAAAGTCCAAGCGCACAAACTTTTCGAGCCGCGTCCGGCCGCAGCCGAGGCGACGAGAAACCCACAGGAGGTCCAAGAAGAACGGAAAAGGTCTCCTTCCCCCCCCTTCTGCTGGCCAGAGCTTGTGCTGGGCCACCTGAGACCCCCGGCCGACTCCGAGGGAAGGGGGATGAGGAGGAGAAGGGAGGAGAATGGTGGGTGTGGCACGCCCGAACTAAGTACGGCAAAGATGGGTAGGATGCCCAGCAGCCCATGCTGTCCAGCACCGACAGCGGCCGCTGTTGGGCAGGCGACCTCCTGCCTCAAACGGACAGTGCCCGCTGAGACGCCGGCAGCGAGTCCTGTCGACATGGGCATGAACTGCTGTCGAACTTCGCCAGGATGTCGGGATGTCCCCTACAGGCCGATTTTGGACGAAAAATAAAACATACCACAAAAATGCCCCAAAATGGTCAAAAGATACTCAAACAATACTCCCCAGACTATTTGTTGACTATTTTTGAATATTCCTCCTGTAGAGGGACAGGCCCGACTTACTATTAGAAACAGCAGAACTGCATGAACTTAAACTTTTGGCGCTTCGCGCGGATTTCTTGGATCTGCGCTGGACCCCTTCCCTGGCGCGCGGAGCGCGCAAGGGGCGGCACCGGAGGCGCCGCCGGCAGGGCCAGATCGCGGATCCAAGAAACCCGCGCGGAGCGCCAAACATTTATTCTATGCATGTGGCGTTGTCTCTTCTTCCGAAGATGTCCATACGCATTCCGCTCGCATTCATCTCTTCTCTGTCTTGGAGCTCCACGCTCGCCTCGAAGTCCTCGAAGAGAGGAGCAATCGCCCACCAAGCACGAGGAGGCGGGGGCCGACACGCTCCGCCTGTGCCGACATGGGGAGCCCCTCCGCAGGCGGAGCTGGTCGCCCCGCTCCCTGGGGGCATCCCCCCGAGGCGGCACGGCGGACGGGAGGCCGTGGCCAGAATGGAAAAGAATGGAGGAGGAGGAGGAGGAGGAGGCGAGGAGGAGGAGGAGGAGGAGGAGGAGGAGAAGGAGGAGGAGGAGGAGGAGGAGGAGGAGGAGGAGGAGGGAGGAGGAGGAGGAGGAGGAGGAGGAGGGAGGAGGGAGGAGGAGGGAGGGCCTCCCCGGAGGGAGAGCCCGCGAGTCTGGCACAACGGGGGCTGGGATCGGCGCGGGGGCTGTCGCCATCGCTCGGACGTCCATTCCCTGTTTTTTTTCGGTTTCGTGCGTTGTTTCTTCGCCAAATGATCAAGGATGCTCCTCGATGGTCCTCGCCGAAAGAAAAATGCACACGTCCGAGCGATGCCAAGTCCCCGGAGGGAGAGCCCGCGAGTCTGGCACACCGGGGGCTGGGATCGGTGCGGCGGGTGCCAGGGGGACGCGGGGGCGATCGGTGGATGCCAAGGTGGGCTATTGTGAAGGGGCCCTGGGACACACAAATGAATACACACAACTAACAGGATTCCCCATAGTTTCACATATTTTCTGGACTTGTGTCTTCCCCCCTACTTCCCATATTTTCCTATATTTTCCTGGGGATCGACGATTAATTGTATCTGTGTTTTTTTCCCTCCTGATATTGTCTGGCCCAACCTGGCTCACGAGCGGACTGCACGCGCCCTAGGTGGCTCCGGGGGGTAGGAGCACTCCTCTGGGTGGGCGGAGCCCGCTTGGCCCACGTCGCCATCCCCCCGAAGCCACTGATGGCCCCCCCGCGCCGATCCCCCCTGAGGGGCCTCCCCTCAGCAACCCCCGCGCCGATCCCAGGGGGCGCCGTCGGAGCGGTCCTGCAACGCTCGTCGCGCCGCATCGGCCCCCGAGCCCCAGTGGAGCTCAGACGGTCGACATTTCTCGTGATGTTTATGTTGAAAATAGTCGCGACAACGCCCGTGACAGGCCCCGCCCTCTCCCCCCTGGGTACGTCACGACTCGCGCGGGCGCAGCCTGGATCTTAACCAGTCTCAGGCATTCCCAGACGGCGCCGGCGCGAATCGTGACTTGACCGGTCCCCTCCCCCTGGTCATGCCCGTCATCGCTAGGGAAGAAGACAACGCTCTCTGTTCATATTTCCGCTTACGTAGGCCCTGACCCCACGAGGGGCAAGAGTGTCGGGGGAGCGCACATATGGATTAGTGATCCATGGATTTGGGGCGCGGTCGCCAAATCCATGGATCGGAGGAGGTGGCCTGCCCCAAATGCAGACCGTGCCGCCTCGTTTGGCGGCGGATATCCGCGAATTCCCATGGAAACGGGGCCCGTCGCTGATCCGCGCGCCCTTGATCCATGTTTGCGATCGCCTGACAATGGGGGGTATGGATAAGCTCCTGGCCTCCGGGGCCACGCTTGCTTACCCCTGCCCCCGCAGGGCTATGGACCGAGCTGCGGCCGTCGAGAGCCCAGAGGTGGAGGAGGAGGAGGAGCAGGAGGAGGAGCAGGAGGAGGAGGAGGAGGAGAAACAGGAGGAGCAGGAGGAGGGAGGAGGAGGAGGAGGAGGAGGAGGAGGAGGAGGAGGAGGAGGAGGAGGAGGAGGAGGAGGGGAGGAGGAGGAGGGGAGGAGAGAGGAGGAGGGGAGGAGGAGAGAGGAGGAGGGGAGAAGGCAGAGCAGGAGGAGGAGGAGGAGAGGAGGAGGGGAGGAGGGGAGGGAGGAGGAGGAGAGGAGGAGGAGGAGGAAGGGGGAGGAAACAGATGAGGAGGGAGGGGAGGAGGAGGATGAGACAGAGGAGGATGATGATGATGATGGTGTTGGTGATGATGATGATGATGCTGCTGCTGCTGATGATGATGATGATGATGATGATGCTGATGATGATGATGATGTTGATGCTGATGATGCTGATGATGATTCTGCTGTTGATAACGATGATGATGATGATGATGATGCTGATGATGATGATGATGATGAGGAGGGAGGAGGAGGAGGAGGAGGAGAATGGGAAAAGGAGGAACAAGATGACGACGAGGAGGATACTCAGGAGAAGGAAGTGGAGGAGGAGGAAGAGGGGGGGAGGATGAGGAGGCGAA